TGGTTAAAAAAAAAATTCAGATGTAGAGAGGGCCGCTGCAACGCCTTCTTGTGAATCGAGAAACTCCCATTATTAGTAGTTTAGTATTTTGTGAAGGCGTTAGTTGTTGCCTTGTGGTCAAGTTGTTCAGTAGGACGAGTTTTCAATGGAGAGAAGTAGTTTCTAAAAAGGAGAAAAAACTAAAAAGGAGAACAAAAAGCTTCTCACAATCCTGGTTCCAATGCAACTGATTACATATTCCACATATCCTCTTTATACTGAGATTTTAGTTTAACCGTATATTTCCTCAAATAAAATTGTCTTTGGGAACTGCATTAAACATGTTAAAGATGTTCAAATTCTTTACATGTATTTTGTGCACTAAGTTCACAATAACGTTCATCAGGCAGTAATACAGTACGTTCAGTTCACGTTCGCCCAAAATATGAACGCATCCATTAAACTTTCGTTCAATGAACACGTTCAGGCACAACACTGAGTACAGAGAGGGAGATCTTGAAAGTCCTGGTCTGTTTTGGCACAAACTCCACTGAAAAGTTTCTGGATGCACACAAGAAGCTATGTTCTTTACATGGGAATGTATTTTGAAAGCAAGCTGTATTTTGTGAGTGTGGTACGTAGCAGTACTCATTATGTATTAGTAGAGCATTCAACACTCTCTCTGTGCAAACCAAAAACTCTAAGGCAAGTTGGGTTCTTTACATTCTAGGTAGACAGTTGGGATCGATTAGAGTGACTCACCTCCTCACACTCATAATCATCAGAGGGCATGCACTTCGGACCGCCATCCTGAAAAACAGCAGGACACACAGACACATTCATTGTCCATTTAGTCCATTACTTATTAACAAGAGATTACTGTGCAAGACTTTGCTTATAGACTTGACCAAAATCAAAGTTATCTTAAAGGTTAAATCATAAATCTTTATTTTTCTTTGATTTGCCAACAATATCATGTGTTACAGTGATTTCATTTCAGATACAATACCTGCACAAAATCTACATCTATTGAAACAATTATTCAATAAAACAGGGATTTAAACTCCTGATGTTAGATGGTGGCTGCATGGTGAAGCAGTTTGTAGCACTATTTCTTTGTAGCAAGAAGTTTCCCGGATTTTTCTGCATGGAGTTTGCATGTTCTCCATGTGCATGCGTGGTACCCCCACCTCCTCCCACAGACCAAAAACATGACTTTTACGTTAATTGGCTTCACTAAATTGTCTTTAGGTCTGAGTGTCTGTGCTTGGTTGTACGTCTTTGTGTTGCCCCGCGACAGACTGGATTTTACCAGAGATTTTACCAGAGAAACACACTGACCCCACAGCAACCCTGACGGAATAGGTGGGAGAAGATGGATGGATGAATGGATGGATTTAGAAAGTTTTAAAGAATTTATTTTTCCAGACTCAAATTGTTTTCACCTATTGGCTAAAAAAACTGACAAACAAAAAAACAAAAACAGAATCTTGAAAAAATTACAAATAGATTTCTTCGTTACCCTTCAAATTCAGAACTGTCGATTGAGCACATTGATCTACTGTTAGGAATCCAGATTGTGTGGGTTGTGTTTTTTTGTTTTCTCCCTCCACCACCAGGTGGCGCCTGGTTCTCGTTGGCCTTCTCACACACCTGCGGATGGTTGCCTCATTACCAGAGGACTCTTAAGCTGCTGACTGCCACTACCTCGACGCCAGAGTGTTTGCCAGTTTTGGGTACTCTAGCCAAGCTGAGTTTTGCTGAGTCAAACTGAGTTTTTTGTCAACTTCAGTCTTAAACTTGTTGTTTTTTTGTCTTTGCCTCTCGGCAGGAAGTCAACCTGCAAACAGGATGTTTTGGACCTTCTCTTCCTGGAAGGATCGTCTGAGTTTCAAACTGAGCTGGGGATTTAAACTGGAGGTATGGATCTACTTTTCCCCAAGGGATTGTTTGGGCTTCACACTGAGCAGGGGATTCATCTCCACAAGAAACCATTCAAGTAACGCAGGAAAACGAAGTGGCAGTCAGCTCCTTTGTTCCTCAAGGAAACACCTCAACCTGGGTAAACCCTGTCCACCCTCCAACGAACAAGTCTATTACTGGAACAACCCACATCGACTGGATTCGGAGAATCTGGAATCTGGAAAAGTGAGTCCTGTTGCCTTTATTCCCTTTTGCAAATCGAAGCTAAAATTTTCCACTGAGCCTGAACTAACCACTGGAACTTCCCCTTCATTTTTCAGTCCCGGTTCGTCAGTGTTCAGAGCAACACTGGACCCATCTCTACCAGTTCTCAATAAACCTGTTAAACCTTCCCCTGGTCTCTCTGTTTGGTTTTCTGCATGTGGGTCAGATCTTTAAATAAAATCATGACATCTGCTGTGTTTGCAGTGTTAAATGAATATTCACATCCATAAAATGCATTGAAATGTCCTTACTTCACTCTATCCTCTGCACACGTCTACATTCATGTACAACGTTCCTTTTTAAGCTCTCTTATGAGCATGAACATCTCAGACCACATTAAGGCTACATCCAGGCAAAGTCTAAAAAGAAAAGTTTGAATATCTGAGCAGCTTTGTGAGAGTAGAGGAGTTTAATTAATCTCTACTCCGGATGTCTTCAACAGGGGGTCCGTGACCCCTAGGGGGTCCACGGAGGTACTGCATGGGGGTCGCGAAACTTTTGGTTGGTTAGACTTTTTTATATATTCCCCCCTGCAACTTTTTTCATTGATTGAAATGTCTTTAAATCCACATTCACATGAATTAACACACAGATAAATGGAGGCAGAAGACGTCTTTCAGTCATCAATGCACACATTCAGCGACACAGCTCTTTCAAGCTGGACACCATTTCATTCACAACACCTGTCCCATCAAGCAGGAATCAGAATCAGAAATACTTTAATAATACAATCTATATAATTAGGGGGTCCATCTCGCCATCAGTTTGGGGGTCCTTGGCCAGGAAAATGTTGAAGACCCCTGATCTACTCGATTGATTGTTCATTTTTTAAATCAAATATTATTCAATATTGGCCAGAGTATTATATATTTATAATAAAATGGTCCAACAAGGTGGATATTTAACTTATTCAACTGCTCAAATATGTAAAAAAAAAAAAATGTAATGTATCAAATATGTAAACAATGTGTCAAATATGTGAATGTTCATTTTTGTGCGGATATATAGGTGTTTTTAGCAAAGAAAGGTTAGATATGCATTTATGAAAAAAAAAACGTCTCCAATCTGCAGGGTTTGGTCAGGGTGATTGCTTTTTAGATGTACGTATTTAGCAGAATCTGATGTGGGAATAAATAGCAGCAGGAGACTTAGGAGAGTACTGCCCTGCCTTCAGTTTCTCCAAAGATCATGTTACTGCTGACGGGGCCACAGTCAGCAGCAAAAACAGCCTTTAGCTGAAAACCTTGTTGTACCAAAACCAGTTGAGTTACAGCCTCAATAAAGATTAGTGATACAGTCTTCAATCGGGCCCTTTATTATACATTACCCCCAAAATGAATCACAGATATTACAAATGTATGAATCCACAGTATAGGAGAATATAACTGTAATCTAATAATAGCAGAAGTTGGCAGAAATAGCAGAGCATTGTCACATTCTGCACAGTAGAGTGAGTACCAGCAGGAATGCTGCTACCAACCATGAAACACATATTAGGGGCATTTAACTCAGAATAAAATCGCATGTGAAGCTGTGTGAGCCTGGAGCAATAGCCCAGGAGGGGGCATGTCCACACACTCGGCTGTCTTACATATCAGTGTGCATCAAGAACATTGATCTGGAGATTTAGACCCAGATTGGATTATAGCTCGATACCAAAATAGTGTCTGAATGATCTCAGTAGAAAGTCAAACTATTTTATTGATTTGACAGAACCGGAGTTCTTTAGTTAAATTAGTGACAGTGATTTTTTTTCATTTCAAATATAAATTTAGCATAAAATTGTCTTATATATTTGATAAAACAGGTGCAGAGCTTCAGAACTTCAGAAGTGTAGGGGGGGGGGGACGGCGGGGGTTCAGTTGCAAAGATGACAAAGAAATTGCTAGAACATAAATATAAATATTTTATGTAACATTTTGACCTTGAGTGAGTATCTGAGTTTTTCCCCCTTTTTATCCCCAGTTGGATTTGACTAACCTGACACTAACTCCCAGAGCCATCATTTTGACGGTTCTGAGATTTTAAAGGGAAAGAAATATATTTAAAATTCATTTTTTCTTGTTCATGTTAACAGACTTTTTCTGTTTCTATATTTCCTTCATTTTCACGTAGTTTTTTTTAAAGAAAATTAAAACGTAAAACATAAATATGGGTAATTCTACCTCGATCTATTAGTTGTATTGTAAATTCTTCCTGCGGTTGATGGACGTTCGGTACCGTTGCCTAGCAACCAACATTCTACCTAAAACTCCATGGGCTTTCAGAAGAAATCTAACCATGACACAGGCTTTAGAAATGCTTCAAAATATTGATGATAGTGATTCGGGCGGAGGGGGAGAGACTGATGAGGAGGACTGGATAGGAAGCGGCTCAGATTCTGACAGCGAGTCTGAAGATGATCAACCATCCCCGGGAAATCGCAGCAAATCAGACAATAGTGAAACTTTTGTTCAAGCACCGCCCACACCTCTGCTGTTACGGCCCAAAATCAAACCAGAGCCCGTCGTCTACTTTAACCACACACAGGTCAGGGTGGATGTGTCGGATCAGATGATTAGAAAGGATTCTGTAAAAGCTCCGCTGCGAAGGTGGCCTGTGGCTGATATTTATGATCTCCTGGAAGTATCAGCTATAAACGCTATAAACTTTTTTCACGCAGAGATTTTATCCTTGAACTGATAAAACAGTTGCGGGCAAACCGCAGGTTTCCAGCCCCTCCGCCGCGGAAGAGCAGCTTTAGCGAGGTCCAGAAAGCAGCGCCAGGTGCTTCAGCACTGCACAAAAACAGAATCAATCAATTTATTTAAATAAAATTGTAATTTCAAACTTTGAACCTGTGTAGTAAAACAGTCTTTACGGATTTTTTTTTTAATATAAATTTAGAACACAAATAATAATAGCGTACAATACAGCCTTTGAAAAATATATATTAGATTTGTTTTAAGGTTTAAATATCCACAACGGGTTTATATGGCACACTAGAACCACCTCAGGTGATGACATCATCACTATTTATGCGTTTCATTGGGAAAACTGTCAGACGTCAAATTGACGGCCAGTGGGAGTTCTAACAGGATCAGAATTCTGGGAGTCCAAGTATTACGGAACTAATTGTCCTTTTGGAGCTTTTTTCTGGTCAGTTTTAAAACTTCAATTTCAAAATGTAAGAACCTTAAAGAAAAGTTCTGGGGTCCGTTTCACGAAGCAGGTTTAACAAACTCAGATTGAAATCCGAAACTCTAAATTGATCTAGCCTAAAGTCAGGAACTCTGAGTTTTCAGTTTCACAACAGCTGCTATGAATCAATTCAATTCAGTTTATTTATATAGCGCCAAATTCACAACACATGTCATCTCAAGGCACTTTACAGTTCAACTGTCAGTTCAGTTGGAGTTGAATGAATAAGTTCCTTCAACTCCAAGTAGAACAACTCAGAGTTTGAAATGTGTGTAACAGGTATTAAAAGCCATTATCAGTGGAGCCCCGATTCGATGAGTCACCATGACAACAGACAACAGGAAGTGCCTATTTCACCCCACTGGAAGTAGAGATTTTAATGCAGAAATGAAAAAAAAGGAGAATGTGTTTAAAAGACAGAGAAAGGGGCAGATTTAGGAAATTTGGGGCCCTATGTAAAAACAGGCAGGCGGCCTCTGAATTGAGAAGACAACTCAAAAAACAGACCCATCCTACAGATAGAGAAATGTTAATAGAATAGACATCTATTATTTATTCTAGGTTTTGTCCCCCTCTTCTTGTCCCTTTTATTGTCATTTTTCTCTATATATTTTGTTTCAAAAGAAGTGAAAGATTTTTTCCAATCACTAAGCTCACTTCCAGTGTTTTGCCTGAACGCGTTCATTGAACGAAAGTTCATGAACTC